ATCCATGTCTGTGGTCACAGACAGACAGACATTTTGGCATTTTTTTCATGAAAGTTCCAGCAGCTCCAGATTAGTTTTCCATAGAAATAATCCAAAGACACGCCCACGAACAAAAGCAATTCTGTTTATTGGACTATTACTGACACTCGAGGCAAAACGTGTTCTGCGCGGCATGAGGCAATACATAAATATTTAAAATTTAAATCAAATTACGCGAATCATTTGATGGCTGAGGATTTAAACTGATTTAACGATTGCCAGAGCTGCTCCGCAAAGGATTATAGATTTACAGGTTTTGCCCGGGCTTTAAGCTAACAAATATTTGCACAATTATTGGCATTTGAAAGCAAACAGAATGCAAAGATTGGCCTGGAAAAGATTAAAATGTACCTTAAAGAGTAAATATATAAATATCTTTCTTTATGCATATTTCTGATTACATTTACTGCATTCCTCTGCTAAATGAAAGTACAATTAAAACTCATAAAATGCACTTTTAATTGCGACATTTTATGAGCTGCTTCAATGCAAACACGATCGATGAACAATTAACGAATCTCAATATCAAATTAAGGAATTTTTTCACATAGCAAAATGTGATTAGCTTCGTGTTCGATTCCCTGCTTAGGTTTTCAATTCAATTTCAATTCGAGGCACAGCCCCAAGTCGCAGCAAAACAACTTTCAACAGCACCCAAAGGCAAACCCACAACTCGAGTGGGTGGGGATTGGGGGTACAACTACAGGGCACAGCCACAGCTACAGTCAAGTGGTAGTGACATATCGCTGCCAGATGGAAAAATGCGGTTAATGTGGTTAATGCCAATAGCTGTGGCTGCTGGCTGTTCACTGCCTGCAGGCTGGACCCATGCACTTGTTCATTCTCCTAATTAAGTCAAAGGCTCCACAGACAGCTTCAGCTCTGGCACTTTTTTATGGTCTCACAAGAGCCAGTTGTGTGGAACGTGGCAACTGGGGCATAAATCCATTTCGAGTGCAAGTGAAAGGTGACTGCATTCAGTGTAACCTTGAAGGATGTGTCCCAGAGATCTGTACAAAGTTCAAGTCATTTCAACAAATAAAAGTAAACAAAATACCAAAGTGGATTTATGGTAATAGATTTTAACTTTGCCTTAGAAGAGAAAACAATGCACGAAATTTCTCCTGTCTGTGATCCTGTCAAATGGATCAGTGACAGGCAGCTGCTGTCAGCTGACAAGCGCAGATCATTCGACACACTTGGCAAGGGGAAGGAAACGTAGGGGAAAGCCACAAAATATGCCAAAAGTTGCCAATTTTCCATTGACACGTGCCGAAACGCTTTTTATTTGTGCAATTTCTTGAAATTTCCCATTAGAAATTTCACATTTTGTTCGAGTTTTTTCTCAAATACTAAGCACGGAAAAGTGTCCACTTTTCTTAGGTTGAGTTGCCGTTTAAGTATTCCTTTGATCTCTTTTATTTATGCCCCATTCCGAGCCACTTAGCACATTTTAGTTGCATAATCCCATTGCATTTTCCTTTGCATTTCCTTTTGGCGCCATTGCCGTTGCGTTTTTCTCTCGAGAGGAAGCAATCGCTTGATGGATTTTACTTTGTGACAGTTCATGCAAAATGAAAATTAATTTACGATTCTCAGGCAGTGGCAGCGAGAGAGACAGAAATGCCTCATGCCTCATGCCTCCTTGTGTGTTTCAAGGAAAATGTCTGCCACAATGCCGCCCAAGTCTCGGCCAGACCAGACCAGACCGAACCGAGCCGAAGCGAACCGGACCGGACCGCGTTTTGGCCAAAGTTGATGGACTCGTTTGGGGCGCCCACAGCCGCAACTAAAAGTGATTGGGCTGGGGAGGGTGGTGGCAGCGTTGGACTGCCGCTTGGGCAGCAGCAAATCGACGCTTTAACAATTTGGTTAAAGTTTAATAAACCTTATGAAATGCTGTCTTGAGTGGGAAATGCAAGCAGTCGGTGGAGTCGTCGACTCCAAATGACAATGATGGGGGGGGGCTCCGTGCTGTCAAGTGAGTTTTTCGGGGCGATAATGTGCCGCACACAAAAAGGAAATCCAAGGAAAGCCATGGAACACACGCGGCAGCAGGAAATAATCGCGGCAGCCACTGCAGCCATGCAGCATGTTGCCATGTTAGAAAGTTGCCATTATTTCAGTATTCAATATCCAACATCCAACATCCAATATTCAGTATTTGATTTTTCCTTTTTTTTTTCCACGCTCTTTGTCTATACAATTTCAAATTTAATTCTTCGTTGCATTCATCATCATTTTTTTGTGGCTTTTTTTACACTTTTTCCCTGGCTTCTTGTGTGTATTACGCAATTGGAAAAATCGGCATTCGGTTTCGCTTTTCTGATGACATTTGTATGCCATTTTCTTCTGTGCTTTACGCAACTCGAATGTTGCATATTTATGTACGACGATGCCACACCCATAAATCAATCAAAAAATGCACTAAAAAGGTGAACAACACTCCAACTGGTGTAGGAAATAGCTTCAAGATCTTCAAATCTGTAGATAAAAAGAGCACGCCACATACGAAACATATCACAGTTCCATTATAATTAATGGTAAAACTCTTTTTAACAAGTTTAATTGCATTTCTATTGGATTTCGTGGCCAAACTGAATATTAGCATCAATATTTTTTAATAGATTGTCAAAAGCAATCGAGGACGTGGGAGTGTCTCTGGCACAGCCACAGTCCACACTCCACTCCACACTCCAGTGGCAGTGCCAACGATCGACACCAACAAACGACCAAAAAAGGAGCCTGGCAGAGAAAGTGGGGAAAATTGTGCAAAAGATCGTTTGGATATGTTTTGAACGCTGCGAGGGTTATCATTATGCTCTTATAACTGCTTTGAGCCTACAGTGGAAACAAAAGTTAAGGCTAGAAAAATCATAGAAAATAAAATAAAATAAAATAAGACAAAGGAAGAAGCTGGGAATCTGATTAAATATATTTTTATCTCTAAGGAACTGGCCGTAAATTGGCCCAGATTGGTTTCTTCTGTATCTTTCTTGCTTTTATGACAATTTATTTCAATTTATTTAAGCTGAACAAAAGGTTTCCTGATCTCCATAACCCTGATCTTTCTCATTATATTCCCTCGAATTCAACTAATCTTCACCGCTGCACGAGTACACCACTCCATACTCCATTTATGCACAACTTTTGCTGCTCTAACTACTCCACATTTTCTTTCTCTCAGTGTATGCAAAAGGCAGTTGCAGTTATAGTTTCATCTGCTGCTGCTGCTGTCATTCCCCCAAGTGGACGTGCAAAGAATCGAGTGTGTATGTGTATCCACTCGTGTCCCGTATCCCCGCCATGCATGATGTATTGAGGGGATGCTCGCCGCCATCCGATAGATATAATTTTGATTAATAGAAGAGGGAGAGAGAGAGAGAGAGCCAAGAAATGAGAACGCAATCGGAATTTGAGCAGCAGCAACTTGCCAGTGGAGTGTCCGAGTAATTGCGGGTTGCCGTTTGGACCATCTATTCACATCAAGGATATGTTGAGCTGAATTCTGGAGAAACTTCGACTGCTGTAATGAACTGATAAGCGCATAATTAACATGGCCTGTGGTCGGTGCATGGCATCCACCTGGCCAAAGCACAAAGAAAGAGTCTGCCATGAGACGCTCATGTGCAGTAGAAATATTTTGTGGCCCCTCCCTTTCGCGCTACAACGAAGTATTTTTAAGGCGTGTTTGTTTGCTGTTTTCAATAGATTTTTGTCTTTAATGACTTTTTGGCTCCGACTCGGACCGGGCTTTTGCCCGGACGGTTAATGGCTTCGATAGTTTGGCTTTTGTTCTGCAAAAGAATCGTCTGGGCCGCCTTGGCCAAAAAGTCGCAAGTGGGTTTGGTTTAGGTTCGTTTGGTTTTGGTAATCTATTGGTGTCGGCATCGCTTTGACTCGAATACCGCTAAACCGTCAGCATAATGGAGGCCCCGCCGGGAGATCGTTTGCACCTGTCGGAGATTCCGAAAAGATTCATTTGGGGGGGGAAATGGGTCGCACATGCTGAGCTTGGAATTTTGGCATTCATCTGAGATTTGCATGGGCTAAAAGCGGAAATTGTTTGCCAAGCTGTTAATTACATTGTTGAGTGAGGGAAAACATTTGGACAGATCTGCCAAGAAGATATTTTGAGCATGGAAATTGATAATCTTGCAGCAGAGGACTTGGGAGTCGAAGAAGCTGTTCCAAAAGTTTGGGAATCGCTGGAATAACGTTTAGATTTATATTTTAAACCCACAAGAAATTGCCAAAACTCAGCTAATTTCAAATAAAATCTGTAATTAAATTTGTGGTCTATAAACTCACATTAAGGCTGCCAAAAATAAATAAAGCAAACGACAAATGAATAACATAAAGTATGCCCTAGAGGGACATAATTATTTCATTCAATAATTGCCATTAATTCAAGCCAAATGCTATAAATCTGGCAACTGGCATAAAGAGCCGCCCATTAAAGTCAAATCCACTTGCTAATATTTTTTGTTTGGGACTAAATTGCACACTAAAAACGAACAAAAACAGGCTTTTAAACAACAACAAAAGCAACAACAACAACAAAAACAAAAACAATAACACCGGAGAACTCATTAAATAAAATGAGAACAACCCAAAGCGAGAGAGCGGTGAGAGGAAGGTAAGGAAGATAAGAATAAACGGAGAAGAAACACACTCGCAAAAACAATCAGCAGGCAACAAATACGAAACGAAACCACAAGAAGTTGCAAAAATAAAAGGCAACAGCAAATACCCAAAGATGAAAAGAGTTCAATGCACGGAAATCGGATTAGGCAGAGAAATTAAGTAATACTTGTACGTGGAGACAAGTGCGCCTCCAAATAGAAATAATCTGTGGGCCAACGGCAAGTGAATCAACAGAGGAAGGAAGCACATGCTCTCGGGGAAGGAAGTGCACTCCACAGAGTAGTAATCATAGCAGCGTCTCGTTTGAGTCTCACCTCTAATCAGTTCTCAAGCGTGAATCCATAAATCCAATTGTGTTCCACCACGTATTGCACAAGTAGTCGTCGATATTCGCACTCAACTATGTTTGTTTTTGTCAAATGATTTAAACAGTTTGCACACCGAACGACGACGACTTTATTTGCGGGTAAATGCGCAGGCGTTACGAGTGTTCAGATTAAACCAAAACAACACCGGGACTCAAAACCACGCGGAAACGCGGTACAACTTTTTCCCAACCGAACGCGACGAAGCTTAAAACTTGACTGAGCGGCCGAGGCGCAGGTAACTTATTCACGTGGCTCTCCCCCACTCTCACTCAAGCTTGAGCAGCGGCCAACATTCGCACTCAACAGCAGACAGAGAGGGAGAGGAGACCCAAGCTTCAGCGTGTGCGCGATAAAAGCTCGCGTGAGCTTTTGGACAACGCTGCCGGCTGTTATTTGAACGCAGCCAAAACGGCGGCAACGTATCGAATGATTTTTGTTGGTAGGTCTCTGAAATTAATAATTTCATCATTATTTAGCATCATTCGTTATGCATGTCCATAGTTTCTGTCTTAGTTTCCATAGTTCGGACGGAACATATCATTGGAATATTCATATAAGCAACATAGTTATCCTTCAGCTATCTCCAGAACTGCTCATCAATGCCCATGATTCCCACAGCCATAACCGCAACCTTTATCATTTTCTTTGCAGTTAAAACATTAACAACTTGATCCGAATAATAAGATGCGTATATTTCATAACTTTTGTATTTATTTCTCGTATAACTACATAGTGAAATACTTTACGAACTGGGGCTCTCAAAATGGAATGTAAATGAAAGACGGACTGGAGAGCCTCTTGAGTAATTGATTTTCAATGGTAGTTCGAAATGAATGATCAACCGAATAGATTCGAAAAAAGTTCGAAATAATCTCAAAAAAAGAATATTTAAAGCTCTGAAGATCAAATGAGTTTAGTTAGGCAGTCCTTAAGGATAACCAAAAATAAATAAACAATAAGTATATTAAAACTTGATCAAACTGAGTTGAAAACAATTTTAAGACAATCGACCAGGTTCATACAGAGGTCTTTTTGTTGTTGTACATAGTTTGTATTTTATTCAAGTGTTTTGCTCTGTTCTATTGCTGAGAAGGGGTTGAGGGAATTGCGGGGAGTGGTAGCTAATGGTATTGTAAATTAAATGGAGTCTATAAATTAATTGAAGATGCGCTTACTTTGGTTGCAAAACTCTGACTGGAAATAGTCGCATTTTTTATATATAAAAATAATGATCACGACATGCTTGGCGTAGTAGACATATTAAATCATATTAATATCGGTTAGCATCAGAGACACGTTCTAGGAGCTAAGTACTAGTACAATGCTTTAGTTAGGCGAGTAATTTGTTTTAGATTTGCTCACTTCTTTGTTTTCCTTTGCGTGATTAACCTTAGGTTTTGTGTGTGTGTTTACCAACTTGTACAATTACGAAACATAGTTTTGCTTGACAATTACAATTAATAATTGAATGGCCTCTCTTACTAGTCTAGGCCCGACCTATGTCGTCTACGGCCAGCAGACAGAGCACGTACATCATTCCGGCACTAAGCAAAGCAGTCACGGGCACCGTCACTATCCAGGCATAGGCTATGTTCCTAAACAGATGCCAGTCAACGCTGCCATCCTCCATGGGCACCGCAGGCTTCTGACCTGACTTCTCCGTCGTAGCCTGAAGTTCCTTCTGATCCGGCGCGGGTGTTTTCTTGCGACCCGATGAACTCACATGACCCACGAAAACCACCGAACCAACCTTGCAGTGTGTTGTCGAAATGGGCAAGCCAATTTTGCTGGCCAGCAGTACGGTGATGGCGGCTCCGATTTCAATTGTGAAGCCACTGCAAAACAGAAGATCGTAAGTTAAGGGATCACATTCAGTCAATTGTTTTCACTCACGTTGATGAGGTAATTTTTGTGAGGTCATTGCCAATGGTCTCGATGACACGCCGTCCCCACAGCCAGAGACCCACGGAGATGCCAATGCCGCCGTAGATCAAAATATAGATGGGACTTTCCGCCTGTTGCATCACTGAGCCCTCGCGGTATATCATATAGAGTGCGATCAGAGGACCGATGGCGTTGCTCACATCGTTTCCACCGTGTGCAAAGCTGCCGAATGTGGCCGTAAGTATCTGCAGGAACGAGAATAACATGGAGATCTCCTGGGTCTCCTCGGCGCTGCTGGCACGACGACCGGCGGCCCGCTTGAACTCATCCTCCTGCTCATTTAGCGCCTCTTTGCTCTCGATCAGCGGCACCTTGCTGGAGTTGGGCGACAGGGTGGAGCTGATCATCAGGTCCAAACTTCCGGCACTCTCCACCACCTGCAGGTTGTTGTTGGTGGCTTTGCCAGCTGCTCCTGTTACAGCTGGTGCCGCTACCACACTGCTGGCCACCTGCTGCTGCGGCTTGTGCTCTTCCTTGGGCGACTGAATGCGTTTGAAGCACTCCTGAAGCTTGCGTCCGTTCTGCTGCTGCTGTTGTTGGTGCTGCTGCTGCTGCTGCTCGTCAATAAAGTTCAGACTGGTGATGGTGAGATCGGTGTTGTCCAGACTGGCCTTGCCCAGCAAATCCTCGGCCTTCTTGATCAGCTGCGGATGGATTTTGTACTCCTCCCCGGGCGCATTGTTATTCTTGGCCGCAAGCCCAAAGTTTGGGGCCAGCTTAAAAGTCTTCGGTGAGTTGTCGGTCAGCGAGACCAGCTCGGTGATCTCGGCGATGGCGGGCAGTGGCTTTCCCTCGCTTACCAGCGACAGGGGACGACGCTGCTTCTTGGGACTGCCGGATGGCGAGGATTCTGTAAGGGGAAATTGTGTCATTTAGAAACTTATCTAGGGGGCAGCTATTCTCTTTTATAAAACTCACCCACAGAGTCCTCGAAATTGAACTTCACCGGATTCTCAGCTCTCAAACGTTTCTCGATCTTACGGCGCTGCATTGGCACCACCACCAGCTGGGTAAGCACCACCACTAGCAGGGACAGGCCCAGGCTGGCACTCAGCGCTATCCAAGTGGGTATGTTGTCCATGTAGAGCAGCTTGGGTCCGTCCAGCACCACGCTGATGACGTTGATGAAGAATGTCACACCGTAGAATATGGGCAGCGAGCGGAAGCCAGCCTTGAGCGGCTCCTGGGCACGCAGGATGAAGCGGCGAATGGCCAGGAAGAGCAGAATGCTCACAATGCCGCTCATCACCGGCGAGATGAACCACGAGCCCACGATGGTGGCCAGCGTGGACCACTTGAGACCCTCCACACCGCGTGCCACCAGTGAGAAGCCAATGGTGGAGCCGACAATGCTGTGTGTGCCCGAAATGGGTAGCTTCAAGAAGGTGGCGACCAGCAGCCACACGGCGCTGCTGGCCAGGGCGGACACACAGCCCAGCATCAAGACCTCTTCGTAGCCCTCGTACATGCCAACCTCCAGGATGCCCTTGCGCATCGTGTCCGATACTTTGTAGCCTAAAGGATAAGGCCAGATTAGATGGGATCTATCAGAGTTCGGTTTGAAGACCTACCAATAAGCACAGCGCCAGAGACCTCACAGATGGTGGCCAGCACGCAGGCCTGACGGATGGTTAGCACACCCGAACCAACGCTGGTGCCAAAAGAGTTCGCCACATCGTTGGCTCCAATACCAAAGGCCAGAACGAACGCGATCAGGAAGCCAATGACGACCATCCATAGTAGATCTGGTGAGAATGGCTCCATGATGGTTTTTTCGTTGGTTTTACTCAAAACTTTCTCTCTTCTACGCTGAACTTCTATCTTCTGAAGCTAACTTAAATATGATTTACTCTCTTGCAAAAAACAATATGGATTGTAGGGGGACCGGACTGTGATTGTGGATGGCTGGTAGGATGGTTTGGTTTTTTTGGTGACTGGTGCAAAACAATCGATTGGAACTTATAAAATACAAGACTACGGTAACAAATGATGGTCGAAACAAAAATCCAAATTGGTTAATAAGTGAGAAATTCGTTTCAAATATTCTCTAAACAGCCATATTTGCGCTTAAACTTCATTGTTGTTATTTTCATAATGAAAATTAGTGAACAACTCGCCGCGTGTTTTGGGGGAATACACAAAGTGTTGGGAGTGGTGTGACTTAAGTAACTAATGCCCTGAAATGTTTCCTTCTTCCTTCTACTCGAACTGATCTATCAGATCGGCTCTATAGCTCTAGCTCTAAAAATATTCAATAAATAGTTAAAATCCTAAGAAATACACAATTTGACCGAAGGACTAAACACCGAAACGAAACGAACAATATTCCAAATTAAAATAAAACTCCTTCTCCTTCTGTACGCCTGATTAATCCCTGCTGTTCGCTGATGTTATTGTTGGAATTTCAAGCTCAGTTGAGAAGTTGCTCATAGACTCAACATTGGCACCACTTTCATTTCATTTAATCCCGCGGATGACTCCTCTTCTCTTTTTTTTTCAGCGAATGGTTTGGTGGATTAAACGTTCAAGTTTAAGTTTGATGTTTTAGTTAAATCTAAGAAGTTTCTTGTTATGTTGAGTAGGAGTTGAGAGATGTCGAGTTTGCCAACTGAAAGTAGATAGTAAATATTGCAAAAGATAACTATGTAGAAGGCTCCATGATGTGACTTACCTGACGTTTGGGATAGCTTATTTGTTTCCACCGCAGAAAATTATTCACCATGTCTGTAAAAGAAGGAAGAAAAAGGAACATTTTAAACGTTTATTCCTCTATAGTTACTACAATTAATTCTGTAACTAAACCAGCTCCTTCGAAAGCCTAAAACCATTTGAATCAAATGTGTCTCATATGAAACCTCACAAGGTATCAATCAGAGGTATTCCAACCGGTTAAAACAGCTTGAAACTAATGTTTGTCTATGGTTCATTACGTTTTCGAGAACATTATTATTAGCTTCAATGTTCAATTCCATTCAATTAACCGGTAACAACCGGTACACAATGCGTTGTTTTAAATTTCAATTGAAAGTTCATTACTGGAATTGGAAAATTTGAGGCAGTTTTCCAGAGCAAGCCCCGCCCCGTATTGTGATTGCTGCAATTGTTGTCATTTGTCGCTCATATTGTAGTCATCAGTGTAATTTTAACAAACAATGTACTTTTATTGTGTAGAATGAAGATCAATGGCATGGCTGGCCAGGGCACAGTTGCAGGTTATAAAACAGGCATGTGCCCCGAACAAAGGGTCTGGAGGCAGCCCCAATTGAATTCCATCTACTACACACATGTGTGTCTATTGTTTCAATTCCCTACTTGTACATCTTGTAATTAGCCATCTGGCACCTTAATACAAAAGCCAGGAGCACAAAAGCTTTCCTCTCAGACGCGGAACAATACAAATTTGGTGTCCAAATACTCGTAAAACAAGAGACTTTCCCCCAGTGGAACATATACACAGTGCAAGAGACAGTAGGTGGAGCCTAAAGGTCGAAGGATTGTAGCCAGGACAATGGCTGACACCACGTCGTGACAAGGTCACGCCGCTTTATGCTGATTACGCCTGACGCTGACGTATAGTCGCGAAATTACAATATTCGTGTGAGAAATATCCTCCATCCAACTCACACAAAGCCATTCCAAGCGCCACGAATCGAGAACGTAATCGAATGAAGCATGTAATCATAGTTCTACGTCAAGCATTTCCAATTTAGTGCTATTTCGAACTTTGGGAACTAAAAATACCCCAAACACGCAACTGCGGAACATTTTAGAGCAATTGCAGTGCTAATAAAACTGTCGGGAAAATTGTGTAATAGCCTCCGAACCTCTGGAGTGTAAAGAGCGCAAGAGAATTATGGCATTTCAATAAACATGCATTCAACGGGAGAGTATAAGCTAGCACAGTGGAGCGAAGGTATGAAGGTCTATTATACCAACACTTTTTCCTGACCTGCTCTACAGTTTCATTCTCTACTCTTCTGTTTATTATGTCAGATTGATTAACGTTTGTGACCCACTGTTACTCCATTCCATTGTGAACTTACATGTGCAAGCTGGAAACTCTAGGCTCTCTGTAATTGGAATTCACCGTTAAGGCATAGCAGCAGAGTGCACAAAGCAAGAGGGAAAGAGAGAGAGATAAAGAGTGGGGAACCATTTCATGACATGCAAATGGAATTGAAAGCACAAATTAAACAGAATTGAATTGCTAGTGCAGCCGAGTGTGATATAGTGGAGAGAGAGGTGGACTCCCACCTGCTGCTGCTGCTGGCAATGTCAAGGCTGTGTAAACAGCCATCGCCATAGGGCAAACTGCATTTAATATCGATTTAATTTTCCGCAATTTCCCAAGGACGGATCATCGCAGGCGGTGCCTGCCAGGCAGAGAGCCTTGCATTAAAGACCTGCCACCGTGCACCGTTTTCAGGGCGGTCCGCAAAGTACCCCCAAAACGAATCACGAGTGCACCCTTAACACACTTGTTTCCACTTGTTGTTGTGGTGGTTGTTTTCCCTCTTGAGGGTGTATGATGCAAGTTCAAGGTCACGTTTAAATCCAGCCGGGGCAACTCTTTTGGAAATTAACAACAGCTCATCCAGTTACTGTCAAACTGCACAGCCAACGGAGCTCCCCAAAGCACATTCCAATCGATTACCCTCCACCATTCAATATTGAAAATGCTTTCATGTGCGAGGAGCAAGTAATTAACAAACACGTGCAACAAGTTATGACAACAAAAAACGGGGCAAGGTATTCTAGCAGTCTGAGAAAAACAAATCAAAGAGAGCGCTGAATATCTAGAAATAGTCTAGCAATTATTACTGACAAATGACATGGAAACTCATCCGCGGGATACATTTCCAGGTACAGTGAATGCTAAGTTGGTGAGCCGACACGATCGTATCGTCTTACTACGCCACACAGCTTCCATTTCTCACTCAAGTCCAGGGATCTGACTAGCAACTGTGAAAAATTGTCAATGACGAACCAATATACTTTTATGCTCAAGAGAGCAATTACTGTACATTCAGTTTACACTTTTTTGCTTCATACACACGTACATACATACGTTAGTACATAAATTTCACAATTTCACAACATTGCGAATGCCGTCTAACACGTGCGGCTGACTGTACCACATTTTGTGTGCAAACAGAAGGGGCTACTTTTACCCATTCATCAATTGCCTGCTCCGCTCCGGTCTGTTCTCTATTATATTCTAGACATTAACATAAATAAGCTTGTTATGGCACTCCACTCCCCTCAATCTTATTTTCGGAACTTCTTTTGGGGTTTTTTCCATCACACGCGATCCGCAATCAAATCACGAGATTGTCGGCTGATTCTAGAAACGTGTGACGGGCCGCGGGACCGGGCGGGGCCAGGTCGGGCCAGACGAAATAAGAAGAAACTCAACGAGCGAAATTTTTGGCGGAGCCGAAACTAAGCAACAAAAGGCAGGCGTCTGGTGCTGCCTCATTGGATTTTATAATGTACAAACATACGCACATCCATATATGTACGGTATGTGCCTGTGTATGTCGGTAAATACAAAAGCAACAACAACAAAATATATACATATTGGAATACCATTAGGCAACAGCAAAAACGAAGAGGACGGCGGTGAGAGTGAGGGAGGAGAGCGAGTATTATATGATCGCGATGTGTTCCAGAAATCTCAAGAGAATTGTGGCTCTCTTGATTCTAGTAGTGCATAGAGATTAATCGCTGCTTTATCATTAATTTTGCCACAAATATTTTAAATATTTCAATCGAAAGATAATTTAATGTTTTATGGTTTAATGTTAATTTAAAATTTAAATAAATGCATTGACAATCAATCTGATAAAAGAGATTTCAATTTGCTTTCGGGTTGATAGAGATTTGTGGAACACCAGCAATGGGAAGACACCGAAAGTGGGAAAGAGTAAAGTAAAATGTACTCGCAGTTTCCGGAGCAGACTACAGGGGAAGAGCATCGGTTCTCGTGTGACCTTGCGGAATGGCTGCCCACTATCCATACCCGCCCCCACTCTGACCCCCCTCAATCTGTTTTACCCGTGATATCATTCGCGCAGAAATAATTGGGTTTTTGCAATTCAAAATTGGTTTCTTTGACGTAAGCAGAAAAGGTTGAAATATGGAAAAGCGAAATACCGTGGGTGTCTCAATAAACTCTGCAGTTGAAGAGTCACTGCATCGCTCGCGTGCAGTCTTAGAGCCATTCGGGATGTTTTCCTCCGCACTATTTTAAAATTGAGATTCGTTTTCTTTCCTTTCCTGCTGTTCTATTTTGTTTTTTACTTTTGCTTTTATATTTAGTTCGTAGCCGAAAAAACTGCACACAAAGTTAAAGTATTTGCCAGCTCCTCTCACTCCGCTGCTGCTCTGTACTCCAACAAACGAACCGTAAGACTGGCACAGTGGGTCGATTTAGCGCACATCCTATGGTTCAACAAATTTCACAAAATTGGTAATGCATTGATGTAGAATTCTAATAAGAATGAGCCTAACCTGCCTGTCGGAAATTTCACACAAATAAATATGTCTGTAGGAAGAAGAGGAGGCTGTGCCCTGGTCCCACCCACAGTAGGTGGCATCATCATGAATCACACAGGGTAACGGGGAGCGTGAGCGAACAGGAATGTAACTGTTATCCTCGAACAGTCTGGAAGCTGCAGAGGAGATGAGAGTGAAGGAGAGAGTGTATGCGTGAATTTGAGGGTGTGCGCAGGGTGTTGTCGAATCCTAACGGTTTGTTGCTGCAGCTGCGAAAGCAACAACAATGAACAACAGCAGAGACGGACGCCTCTGAAAACAGCTGCATACGGCGGCCAGTGCATGAAAAACTGGAAGCAACTGTAAACTGTACCGCCAAGGGTCAGCGGCGACCAAATAAAAGCGTGAATAACCACGAAACTTATTCAGCAGCACGCCGTTTTTCACCTCACGCCACCCCTTTCACAGTTTCTTCAAACAATTCTGAATCAAGTTCCGTGTCTATTGATTTTTCAAGACAAACGCACAAAAAAAATTGGAATTCTTTTTACAGCTAGAAAGCGTCCAAGAGAAATTGTCTATTTATTTTGCATTTGTTCTATGGAAATATATGGGCAAAAATGTATGTACATATGTGCCCACACAAACACACATGTACTCCCACGCGGGCTGGCGAAAACACGCGGCGCCATCCAGACTACAGAAGGATACACAAGGATATTTGCACACACACACTAACGCGCACCAGCATCAGAGACACTTTTCGAAAATCCTATTCGTAGCCTCTCGATTTCTACACGGACTACATGGAAAACTTTTCTTACGACTTGTCCGCCGTCTTACTCACTTGAATAGCAGCACTTTTTTAAATCAATAAATTATTTATTGAGGAAAAATTTATTTAAGCTGAGTCGCGCGCAACCACCGGCTTCAGTGATTTATCGATAAGTCTGACAACCGAAATAAAATACCGCAAGTAAACCGAGGCAATCTGAACGCCCCTCAATTAAATAGCTCACATACTGTAAAAGAAAATACCAAAATTCAAACAGCTGTTTGTCTGCTAGCCCCTGCGAATGGCAGTCGCATGGTGTTTACGTAAAAGCCGCAATTGATTAATTTTTTTAACAAAAACTTTGTTTTATAACTAAACGAAAGCTAAAAACAATGGCGGCCAGCTTGACTCGGTTGTTGGAGCGCAGCCTACGAACAACACACGCACCGCAGAGCAGTGTGCGTCTTTTTAGCAATGGCAGCCAGAAACAGCAGCAGCAGCAGCCAGAAGTGGAGGACGAAGAGGGTAAACAAATCAAATATGATTGTTATAGTCACTGTTTTTCACATACCTTTTCATAGAGTTCCGTGTGCTGAATTTGCGCCCGGTTAAGCAGCAATTCCAGAGGAGGAGGGACATCAGAAGGGATGATGTTACGCCACCTCGCACCACACGCATGGCTGTCGATCAGGATTGGACGGCGGCCTGGCCGGGTCCACGTTCCTTCCACCCAGCCAGTGTGCCGTTGCCACTGCGGCAGGGCTTCACGGAGCGCGGTGCAGCGGCGCCCTCCAAGTTTGCCAACGCGGAGCTAATGAAAATCCCAAATTTTCTGCATTTGACGCCACCGGCGATTCGGCAGCAGTGCGAGGCCATCAAGAAGTTCTGCACGCCCTGGCCGAAGGGTCTGGAGACCGAGGCCAAGTGGAAGCCTCACTTTCCCGTAGAAGTCATCACCACAGACTACTGTCAGAGTCTGCCCACGGTGCGCAATCCCGAGGCACGTCGCGTCACCGTCTCCCTAAAGCTCTCCGATCTGAAGTTTGACAACCACGCGAGGGACAAGTTCCTGCGTCTCGTGGGCGAGCGCTACAACAAGGAGACGGATGTGCTCACATTCGTCACCGATCGTTGTCCCTTGCGCAAGCAGAACTACGACTACGCGCTGTATCTGCTGACGGCCTGTTACCACGAGTCCTTCGTCACAGAGCCCTGGGAGGCGACCAAGTCGGAGGCCGACATGGAGTTGTATCTGTTCGAGCGCAACCAGGCCAAGCGCTCCGCCGAGGCCATCCTCAACTGGAATGCAGCGGAGGGTGCACCGAAAAAGGCAGCCAGTGCCAGCTATGCGCAGTGCGTGGAGCAACTGATAAACGAGGGCGAGAACGAGTACAACTTGGCCAAGTACAAGGAGGAGGTGATGAAGATGTTAAATGTTGCGGCACAGTAAGAATATGCCGATCGGCAATGAAGATGCTTTTGTAGAAATAAACTAGCAAGGAACTGCACCTGGCGTTGTAATTTGATGAAACATTTTTAAGAGGGGAAAGCGGCTTTTACTTCAATCACTCCTGATCAGATCACAGCCCTCGGAAGGATCCACAGGTAACGGGCAAGTAACGGGGCGTTGACTTACCAGACGGACATATCCTCGCAAGGACCGTCAGCAGGTTGTAAGTCTCCTTCTCGAGGCCTTTGACGACAACGAGGAACTGCAGCCCATTGACAGGTACTGGGGCGGGCCATTTGCTGGAATGAATCAATTTTATATAAGTTTGATTAGTTCTACGGATTCGCTTTTATTATTTTACTGGTGCTTCTTCATTTGAATGAAAAGTGCTGGGTAGCGGCTGCGATAAGTGGAACTTATTGGCCAAAGGACAAAGTTTTAATTGACAATTCTCTACCGATCCATGTAGCTGTAGGTACAATTTTGTAGTTATTTTGAAACAAAGGAACCATTGGGACTTTTATTCTAGAACGTGTATTCATTTGTATTTCTCCTTACATTTATATGTAATATATTTATGTGGAGGATCTATAAAATCGTCTAACGATGCTCCGTTTATTGGGTTTGCGCCTCACTGGGGCAATGGTGCAACCATTTATCCGGAATTACGGCAAGCCCGAGCGTTTTATGTGGTAATATATTGGGCCAGAAGACCATGGCAAAGAGTACTTCAATTTGTTGTTTATAAGGTGCCAATCGAAACTCGCCAAAGTACCGAAAGCCATTTTGGCGGACGGCAAGGAAATGCCTTTGATAGGACTTGGAACCTGGATGGTAAGTGTGCAATTGCTATTCCCCACACATGTCAGCTGGGGGGTACATTTTTATAGTTGCGCATATCTTCCATGAGAATTGAATTTGTAAATTTTGCTCAAAAATACTAGTAGTGTTAGGGAAATCGAAAACTCCAGTTGTTTTTATTATGATTAAGTTACAATTGTGTGGCTATCGGGCTCTCAAAAGAATAAGAGTCACCGTCCATGAATGTTTGCTATACACCGCAGACCAAAGTACGTATAGCGAAAAGCTGTCAAGCCTTACGGCTGCGATCACAGCTGTGCGGTTGCAGTGCAGCCCTGGTCGGACCGGGCGCGTATAAATAGCCAAACAGCTGTGCCGCAAGTTCAGTTTTTGAAGCGGTGGCAAACAATCCAAACGTATTATTATTATTTAATCCTTAAAAAAGTATCCAACCATGGCATCCAAAGTACCAAATGTGAAATTCAACAATGGCCTCGAGATCCCAATTCTTGGCCTGGGCACTTGGGGCGTAAGTAAACTGTAAACTGTAATAATAACTGCACAAATCAAACCACACTGCCATACGTACATATGTGTGTGCATGTTTATTCGTACATATATGTACACAAGTACATATATACTAGATGTGTCTCCTCTTTTAATCGCGTAGTTTTCCGCTGCCCACGACTTCCCTTTTTTTTCATATTGGAATTCCAATTTGGTTCAAAAAAGCAACACGCGTCGCACTGCTGATAGTTTTTGCCGGTTATGTTTTAGCCGGTTATTGTATGTACACACATACATATAGTCAGATTGTTTTCAATTTTAGTGCACAGAATCTGGCAACTTGTCGCTACGAATATTAAGCGATAATCAGCTAATTCTCCACAACAATTGAGAAATTTTCCATTGCTATGCGAATTTAGATATTTAAATATGCAGAGAGTACATATTTACACATCCTGTACATACATTTAATGTCTGCAAATCGATCGCTGGACTGCACTCATCCTCTTTTAGTTTGAGAAACTTTTCTAGTGTTCCTTCTGTCAAGGTGACCCTTTGTCCCTTTTAAAGACAGTGGAAACTTTGAACAAAATTCTGCCACATCACTCCACACGGTACATGCAGTGGTTATGGTGTGGAACACATCTTCAGTCTACAAACATTGGGAGGTGGGCCCGGTGCAGACGTACATTCTTATCTCGAGTAGAGAGGCTTTCCTGATTGCCAATGTTCTGCCCAACGAATTAAAGATACTCTCTGTTAGGGCATAAAAAGGGGGCGCTGTTCAGCCCATTGATTACTGATAGATGACGATGCGTTGACGCGATTATAAATCTATTTTAGCAAGGGTATTATAAGGGTATTCCTATGAGGGTACGTAGGCTCGGTTCTTATCATGTGTAGCGATTATCTTGGGTATGTAAATAGTTCAAGACATACATTAAATTCTAGCTGTCAGCTAAAATTGCCTACAGCTCGCACATAAGAATGCTGCCTGTCTACCCCCAATTAATTGAACAGAAAATGAACTCAATATTTTGACATAATTACTTAAGTTTGCTGATAAGTGACGTCAAGTGGCAGATAGGAAAAAGCTGCCACAAATTTCGATCCTTAATGCTGAGAAGTTTGCTCAGCAACGTTTGGCGAAATTCCAGCCAGGTTCTAGAACTTTAATTTCACCACAAACGAGCAGAAGAACGTTGCGATATTGATTTGTACGTACAAAGACCTTCCATTCTTATTGAGATGATATTGCAAATGAAATGCAAAAAGTGATGGGAGACGTGCACGAGCAATTAGCAATTTACTATTACATCGACTACATGTTCTGCTTCTCATTTCAGAGCCCCAAAGGTCAGGTGACCGAAGCTGTGAAAGTGGCCATTGATGCTGGCTATCGGCACATTGACTGTGCCCACGTCTACCAAAACGAGGATGAGGTCGGTGCTGGCATCGAAGCTAAGATCAAGAAGGGTGTTGTCAAGCGGTAAGTGCACAATGGAGTTCCCTGGTTGAGCATATCAAAATAAATATCCTGCTTGCAGCGAGGACCTCTTCATTACCAGCAAGCTGTGGAACACCTTCCACCGCCCGGACTTGGTCCGCGGCGCCTGTGAGGCCACATTGGAAGCTTTGAAATTGAAATACATTGACTTGTACTTGATCCACTGGCCTATGGGCTACAAGGAGGGCTGCGAGCTCTTCCCAGCCGACAAGGACGGCAAGACCTTGTTCTCGCCCGTCGACTACGTGGACACGTGGAAGGCCATGGAGAAGCTGGTGGAGGATGGCCTCGTCAAGTCGATTGGCGTCTCCAACTTCAACAAGAATCAGCTGCAGCGCGTGCTGGATGTGGCCAAGATCCCACCGGTAACAAACCAAATCGAGTGCCATCCATATCTGACACAGAAGAAGCTCATTGATTTCTGCAAGTCGCGCAATGTTACGGTGACTGCATACAGTCCCCTGGGCTCGCCCAACCGTCCCTGGGCCAAGGCTGGCGATCCGGTGATTCTCGAGGAGCCTAAAGTAGGTACCACAGGATTTGTTGCCAATAATCAGTAAATATTTATTTTTTTATAGATTAAGGAAATTGCCGCCAAGAAGAACAAGACACCTGGACAGATTCTCATCCGCTATCAGGTGCAGCGCGCCAACATTGTTATTCCCAAGTCGGTGACCAAGGAGCGTATTGAATCGAACTTCCAAGTGTTTGATTTCGTGTTGACACCCGAAGAGATCGAAATTATTGAGAGCTTCGATTGCAATGGTCGTCTGGTGCCTTTGCTCAAGTGAGTATTGAATGGATTTTGTTTTTATAACGTGCAATTTTAAACTTGTAAATGGAATAATGGCAGAGCCATGGGTCTGTCCATCTGACACTTGCCGGAAAGGGTCGATTGCAAGCACTCCAAGCACTCGCACACAAATTTAATTTCCTTATTTTCATGTTTATATTTATTTAGTGAGGCTGGTGGTCATAAGTACTTTCCATTCCACGACGAGTTTTAAGCGAAATGAAACCGAACATCAACAAAAATATTTATTAAGAAACGAAATGCTTAAGCAAGAGTCACAACCAACGACAAGTCAAGGCAAAAATCTTTGTAAACAAATAACTGGTGTATGCGTATGTTTATTTCTCAATTCAGTTCAGTGGCTTCTCCTTTTCCCCTTAGTTAATTGTTGTTTACCAAAAACACTTATACAATACCCCGCTTGATATTTAAGTTGCTTTTATTTGATGTTCTTTTGTTTTTATTTTGAACTAATTTGGCCGCCTGAAAATAGTTGCCACGTAATCCCTAAGCTGTTTTTACCTGTGCAAACTGCCAACCAAAACCATCTTTTAATTCAAATTTTCTTTAATATCTTTCAGCGTTTACGGACATCCCCACCATCCCTTTGAGAATGATGAATACTAAGCGGGCAGTAGGACAGCTGCACATTTACAAATTTAATCTGTTACACAAACACCTAATGCTAAAACCGTATGAATAAATAAACACAATAAGAACTATTTCGTCTGCTGTATTGTAACAGAATTTTTGGGGATATTTTTAATATTTGCCTTTGCCAAAGAGTGACATTTGTTAGGCAATCAGCTCCAGGAGCTGTGACGTATTGGCCCTGCCACGAGCGAGCTTTCTGCGTCGAGTCAAAGATCTAACAATTGTTTAATCCAAGCTATGAGCAAATATTTTTCACAGTTGTTTCATTAATTTGCTTAAGGAGCTATTGACTTTCAACCCATGGGTTAGTTCAGACAGTTTATTCAGTGTTTTTTGTTTTTGCAACAATAGAAGTACCAAATGTGGTTCAACAATTGAAATTTTTGCAAGCCCAACAAAAGCATCTACGCAAATAGCCAAAAATATAATGGGAACGCTGATCGCTAAGGTATAAAAGACTCTGGAGCCTCGAATTCGGCCAACAGATCTAGTTGATCTGAATCTGAAATTGGTCTCCTAGACGACCGACCATGCGCTTAATATTTGTCGCGGTTCTCGCCGTTTTGCTGTCCCTCGCGGCGACTCAATCCCCACCAATCGCCACCGCTACCGCAGTGGGTGCACCGGCAGCAAAGGCTCAGCCATGTTGTGAAAGTGTTCGACAAACTCTCATTGAAATACGAAAGGATATCCGACTGTGGCTGCTCGATCGACTTTTCGGCAAGTTGATTCTCCTTCACGACGGAGAACTTTTGGGCAACCCAAACTATGTGAATTGTGCAAACGGAAAAAACCAAATCACCAACCAAGACCAAAGCTCCCAAATTATCCAACAATTGGGAACAAGCTCAAGTCAAACAAGTGAAACATTCAACGATGAAGGAGATCTGTTGGGATCACTGAAGGATCTCTACAGCGGGGTGTCCGGAAACTCCGGTCACTCCTCTTCCTCTTCAACAACAACAACAACCACCACAACTTCCAACGATGGAACCGTACTATCTGAGCCTGCTGTCGAAGCCGCTGAGTCCAGCAGCACCGTTGAGGGTGGAAACTCGAATCAGTCCTCTTCCTCTTCCACAACGACAACAACCACCACATCTTCCGATGATGGATCAGTAGTGTCCGTGCCTGCTGTCGAAGCCAGCGAGTCCAGCAGCACCGTTGAGGGTGGAGACTCGAATCAGTCCTCTTCCTCTTCAACAACGACAACAACCACCACAACTTCCGATGATGGATCAGTAGTGTCCGTGCCTGCAGTCGAAACCGCTGAGTCCAGCGGCACCGTTGATGGTGGAGACTCGAATCAGTCCTCTTCCTCTTCAACAACGACAACAACCACCACAACTTCCGATGATGGAACCGTAGCTTCCGATCCCATTGTCGAGGCCAGCGAGTCCAGCAGCAACGTTCAGGGAGAAGACTCGAATCAGTCCTCTTCCTCTTCAACAACGACAACAACCACCACAACTTCCGATGATGGAACCGTAGCTTCCGATCCCATTGTCGAGGCCAGCGAGTCCAGCAGCACCGTTATGGGTGGAGACTCGAATCAGTCCTCTTCAACAACAACAACAACTTCCACAACATCCAACGATGGAACCGTAGTGTCTGAGCCTGCTGTCGAAGCCAGCAAGTCCAGCAGCACCGTTGAGGGTGGAGACTCGAATCAGTCCTCTTCCTCTTCAACAACGACAACAACCACCACAACTTCCGATGATGGAACCGTAGCTTCCGATCCCATTGTCGAGGCCAGCGAGTCCAGCAGCACCGTTCAGGGAGGAGACTCGAATCAGTCCTCTTCCTCTTCAACAACGACAACAACCACCACAACTTCCGATGAAGGAACCGTAGTTTCCGATCCCATTGTCGAGGCCAGCGAGTCCAGCAGCACCGTTGAGGGTGGAGACTCGAATCAGTCCTCTTCAACAACAACAACAACAACTTCCACAACATTCAACGATGGAACCGTAGTGTCCGTGCCTGCTGTCGAAGCCAGCGAGTCCAGCAGCACCGTTCAGGGAGGAGACTCGAATCAGTCCTCTTCCTCTTCAACAACGACAACAACCACCACAACTTCCGATGATGGAACCGTAGCTTCCGATCCCATTGTCGAGGCCAGCGAGTCCAGCAGCACCGTTGAGGGTCGAAAGACCGATCAGTACGGATCGACTGCAGATATCACAAGACCCACGACCACTACAGAAAAAGAAACCGTAGCTGCAGATCCCACTATCGACGCCAGCGAGACCAGC